CTCCCCCGTTCATGCTCTGTCTCTCTCTGTCTCAAAAATAAATAAACGTTAAAAAAAAATTTTATAAAAAAAAAATCATAAATACCCAGCCCACCCTTACCTCTAAACAACAATAAAAGAATAAAAGATCCTCCCTCTCTTACTTCTTTACGAATGGATGCTCCAAAAAGTGCCAATGCTACTGGTATCCTAATTTCAAATACGATGTCATGAAATTCCCTATTCATTCCATCATGGTTTTTTTTAAAGAAATCCCTATCTTTATTTGACTTTCAGTACCTGTTCCAGTTCTGTGTAGGCTTAAATACAGTTGGAGTCAAGTAATACAGAACATTAATACTATCTTTGCCTTTTTTAGATCCCATTTCAGAGCAGTGAGTTTAACGAAAAATAAGACCATTTATATCCTTCCAATTAATGGAAATTACACTGCTAAATGAATATTTTCCTCCAAAGCAGGCGACACAGAAGGCTGTATGCTTAGCCTGAAGAAGATGGCATTGTTCACGGTATTTTTGGAAACCTCCTTCTAGAATCAGACACAGCCCCTACCCGACCCCCCTGCCCATCGGTACATGCATGTGCATACACACTCACAGACATCTGTTACAATTATTTATGACTATTAATTTGGCTTTCAATCGACAACTATAACATCTAGCTTGAAAACCAAACTTTTCACCTGGCTAAGGTCAAGTAATTCCTGAAATGTGTGGCAAGGGCCATTGTGGACTCCTGTTTTTGTTTTCCTGTCCTTCATAGAAATGGAACAAATTTTAGTTGTTTCCACGGTTACCCTTAAGACTGCATTTTCTCGCCTGCCCTGTGCAGTTCATCACTTCTGTGAGCAGAAGTCTCATGGCAGTTTCTGGAGGCTTCCTCGGAAAGCTGTGAGGGCTCATTAGCTCTCCTCCACCTGCTGCTGTGTGGAAGTGATGGCTGCTACTAAGTCATCTACTATGTCCCTCAATTTGCGCCAAAGACTCGGAAAGGCAGAGCAGAAGGGTGCAAGGAGCTTGGGTCCCTGCGGGCTGAGTAGTGGAGAACAGGATTCCAGGCCTGGACTGCCCACCTCTGGAGTGTTATGTGAGAGAAAAAAAAGTTCTATCTTGTTTAATGCAGCGTTTACTTAGAGTCTCTGTTAGCTGCAGACAAATCGAATCCTAGCTTTTATAAACAATATTTTAAAAATAAAACCCATTCTCAAAAAGAAGGTGCCATGGATTCCAGGAGCTTTTCTAAAACAGGTGTTTCGAAGGATCTCCACTGTTGGAATAAGCACAGAGCTGTCCGAGGTGACCACTTAGAAAAGGACAGGTTGGGGCACCTGGGTGGCTCAGTTGGTTGAGCATCCGACTTCAGCTCAGGTCATGATCTTGTGGTCTGAGTTCAAGCCCCACATCAGGCTCTGTGCTGACAGCTCAGAGCCTGGAGCCTGCTTCTGATTCTGTGTCTCCCTCTCTCGCTGCCCCTCCCCTGCTCATGCTCTGTCTCTCTCTGTCTCAAAAATAAATAAAAACATTAACAAAAAAATTTTTTAAATAAAAAAAAAAAGGATAGGAACTCACTTGAATGATTACATTTAACTGTTTTCTGACGGTATCCCCATTACTTTATTATCAAATAAACATGAAAGGTCGACTTCTACATAAGGTAAGAGTTCAAGCATAGTTGTGTTGTGTCATGCCACATACAGCAATATCCACATCCCTTTAAGAACCCAAACACACACGCACACAGCAGAACACTGTTAGAGAGTGCCTGTTTATGATAAAACAAGAAAAGCAAAGCATAAAACAAAAGCATGCCTTGAGACTTACGTGGTTATCTCTATAGTAGTAAGAAAGGGCAGGAAATCGCCGTCTGCTCCGGAATTTGGAACTCCCCACGATGATGTGTGCTGTGGCCGATTTGGGAACATACAGTTCAGTAGGGTAAGAATCACAAACCTGTCACGGAAAACACAAGGGGAATTTTTAGGCAATCCAGTAATGCTTTGTGAACTGCCACAAGAAATTCCATTCAGCATACTTATACATTGCGCATATACGTTTTCTGTTAAGCTGTTACCAACAGCTACTTCGGAGAAATGAAGAGCTGGTGATTCCATGAAATCCTCACAAAGAGAAGCAAACACTCTTTAGCAACCTGTCCTTGTGTACTCCCGTTCTGTCTACGGGCACTGCGAACAGCAAGACAGGGACAGGTTGGCATTTCTCACCTCAAGAAGGGACAAATTATAATTCGGCATCCTGGGAGCTGAAAACAATTTCGCTGCCTGTTTTGAGTGAAAGATAGCCTGACAGTGGGAGGCAAGCACCAGGGGTGAGCCCCCGGGGCCATTTCTCTGTCCCCAGCACACAACATGTGCACTCCTGCCTCCAAGAAAGCAGTCCAGCCAGTGCCCTCCCTAGAAACTTCTTCCGTTGGGTTTTCCCAAATCTCCTCCATTCTCGAGGGACAACCCAACTCCACCTCCTTCAAGAAATTTCCTCCCTGCACTTCCAGCTCAGGTAACTCTCTAGATCTGACTTGGTACCACACAAGTTAACAGCTTTATTTCTGTTTCTTACATGTTGATTTTACAGATGGTAAGAAATGATTTTATTCTTTCTGCCCATCACTAGGGGTGATTCCCACAGTGTAAACTCTGGAGCCTTGGAATGATCTCGTGATTCAGTCAGAATCAGCATTTCAGAACATAGCTGCAATTTGCCAATTTCATGACCTTCAGGAATGTCAAACTACACCGACCTCTGAAACTGATGACACACAGAAATAATACCCGACAGGTCGATGTAAGGATCAACTCAAGTAACACCCACGACAAAGCACTTTATAAACCACTAGGTCTAACAAAAATGTTAGAGGTAGCAACAGTAATCGCTGACGTGTGGCTCAGTATGTATTTCGCTTTGACATCAGCCAGTCGATCTTTTTTCAATGTGAAGATCGCCTAGATGGCATTTCCCTGGATTTTGCCAAAGTGGCTGCTATTTTCCAGAAGTCAAGCACCTTCTTCTTGGTCATTTCAAGAGTCCTCAAGGAGCAGTAACAACAGGGAAATGCATTAGCTGCCTGTCCTTGGTCTACCTCCAGCCCACACTCACTCCTCTACAAAGATGGAACTGAAGGCAACAGAAACCCACCCCAAGCAAGAGCCAAGCCTCCTCTCCCCAGCTCATGAAAATCATCCTGTGATGGTACCTCCCCACCCCGACCTGCCTCCACTGTCTTTGTTACCAGACTGGTGCACGACACTGAGCAGGAGATAAAAGGACCACAAAAGTGACGTTCTCAGGCTCCAAGTGTAATTTCACCACTGAGCCAAAGACATTTCAGGGAAGATTATCAAAGACTTCAGAGACTTCAAGGCTCCAGCACTGACACTCCGGAGGAAATCCCGTACCGGGAACACTGATACTCTGGAGGAAAATCTTGCCCCAAGAATAGATGCTCCAACCTAGCTGGACGCAGAGGGTTCTTACTGGAATTACTACCACAAGACACTACACCCTCCTCCCCATGCAAATCTGGCATCTGCACCTCTCTTCAGTCAGTCGGCTAGAATGTCACCAGACAGGACACACCCACTAGCTTGAAGTTCAAGAGACGTGTAATCGTTTTACCAGACTTACAACATTTCCTTAAAATAAGTTTTAAAAAGGAAATTGGGAGGTTTTCAGTAAGGCGGGAATCACCTACTTTCTCCACTATACAACACTAAGGAATTGCAAAGTTATGATTAAATTAAATAAGGAAGTAATAGGCGAGATTTCTCAACATGCCTATTACACACAGCCTTTCTGAGTAACGAAGAGGTGAGCTAGGAACCGTGGAGCTCCTGTCAGGTCCTCTTATGGCCTCCCAGAGCCAAAGGATGTCCAGCTTGTGTCACACTGGAGCCTTTATGTGCACCATACCTGGTGTAGGACCAAAGGAGAGATAAACACCCAGAACTCACTGTCCTTAATACTCCTGGACCCAATCTACTTAGGGACCTGACCATTTGCTATCCACTCCGGGTCCTCTTTCTTCACCAGAAGAGCAGGAAAAACTTTCCTGCCCTTTAAGAAGACCTGGGCCCTCCCTCACCACAGTGAAGGCAACGTAGACCTTTTTGGTTAGCATGAGCAAACACCAAGAGCTTAACACCTCAACCCAGTCGGTGGTGGTCATGCCCTCCCCTCTAGGGACACACCAATGCCATTTACAGGGGCTCCTGCTTCCCCCAGAGTACTGAGTTGAGGTGAAAAAGAGTTCAAGGTTAAGAACTGAAATATGGACATTCTGATAAGCTCTTGCATGGGAAGCTCTAAGAGAAGCTAAAGTACCTTTGGAAAAAAGTCAGACTCGTGGTGTCTATTAGCTCAGGTTTCAAGATACAAATTCTTAACCAAGCTGGAAAAAAAAGTGAATCCACCCTGCGTTCATGAAAGCAGATGGCACTTTCACAGAGAAATTTAAAAAACAGTCATGGATAGCACTGACCTCTCTCATTTTTGCAATAAGCTCACGCAGTCATAGTAAAAATTCTGACAATGAATAATGCACAGCATGGTGCAATTTAGGCTACCAAATTCTGAAACTAATCAATGCACGTCCCCAAATTTTGTCTGGTTTGGAAAATTACGTAGGAAAATTCAGAGAGAATGGAAGTTCAGAAAAGTACAAAAAGCTTTTCTTCTGAATTTTCTTTCTTTACATTAGCTGCTTAAGCCAATGAAGGCAGAATAAGTTAAAATCATTTCTGCGTACTTTTTTTTTTATTAATAAGGAAATGATTTTGTTTGTCCTCCACTAAATAAATTAGCCTGCCAAGAGTGCCTGCCTATCTTGGTTTTTTAGCCTTGCCCAGAAAATCTCTTTGGATAGTTGTTTCACTCATTCAACTAGTTTAAAAATATATATATTTGACATATACCATTGTGTAATTTAAGGTGTACACATGTTAATTTGATACATTTATATACAGTAATATGACTGCCACTGTAGTGATAATCAGCACCTCTATCACGTTACATGAGTATCATTTCTTTTCAGTGGTTGGGATTATTAAGTTCTAGTCTCTTACTTAGCAAGTTTGATGATTATAGTACAATGTTGTTGATGATTTTAGTATGATATTGTTGTCTACTGAATACTTAATACGTGCCAGGCATTATGTTAGGTGCTGGGGCAGTAATGAATAACAAAAGAGCTACTGGCTTCAAGGACTTCGCATTCCCAGGAAAGTTGATCTCTTTTGACCCAGTTATAATCTTGCAGTAAATTCATTTACCATTGCAAGGTAGTATCCACCTGAGATGCCATCCGAGATGTCTTGATTAGACCTCTGTATCTATGGAGGACCACTCAGCTGAGCACTTTGGAGAGTTAGTTGTATCTATATAGACAGCTTTCTTCTTAAACATTTAGTATCTAAAATTTATTTCAAGGAATTTATGATATAATATTAGGGGAGGAGGGTGTGAGTTGCCTAAAACAATTTACATATAAATATAATAAAATAGTATGTAGCACACAAAATACAGCTGTAGAAAATGGAAATCGACAAGATTGTAAATTACTGGTTCCTACTCTATTTTAAATTTTATTCCAAGAGAAACAGGTTAAAATTTTAACCTAAGTAGTGAACGATAATTCTTTTATTTAAGAAAGACAATTTCAGGAGTTACGTCCAAAGGGAAATCTTCACTTTGAGAGTTAGACTGTCACAGGCAAGTCTTATAAAGAGGACTCCTAGGAATGATGACAGAGTTGATGATGAGGATGATGGTGGTGGTGGTGGTAATGAGTCTCAAAACATCACACACACAGAAAAGGGCGGCATAGGTTCTGAACCTGTTTCTTTCTAAGAAGAAAGACATAACTCTTGTAAAAGAAGGGAGGAAGAAGTAAACATTTTCTCAACTATGAGGTGAAAACAAAGTAATGCATGATGCCACAACTTTCTCAATGGACTGTGAGTCAGAAAGTTTTTGAATCAACTTTTATTATATTTCTAAGTTGGTAATAGAGAAGGGCACATCGTCTTTCTCACTATTTCCATCATATTAGTAAAATCAGAAAATCCCCTAGGTTTTCACCTTTTCTGCTTCAACACAATCCTTTGGTTGTTAGTTTGGGTTTGCTGCATGTTACTTTTGAAAAGAAATGCTGACTAACTCATGTTTTGCAGTCTCCACATGTAGGACATAAGTGACTAAATATGAGTCATGTTTGTGCTACTAGTTCTAGAAGGAAATCTCTTCAAAAATAGGAAGAACTTGTGTCTCCAAGAAAATATTATTCCACAAGATGCAGCCTAGATTCATTTTCTTCCTCACTCAAGGGCGTGTCATATTTTTGAAAAATTTCAAAAGGTACCCAATTTTCTTTACTAAACTTGGATTTTCCTCCCTTTCATTTCAAGGCTAAAAATCCACTGCCACATATTTCATAATGATGGAGACAAAGAAGCCCCAAATGTCTACTCACGGTGTAAGATTATGGTTGTTAGATTTAAATGTAATTATGAAGAAAATTCAGTATCACATATCCATTCTATCCCAAATAATCTATAAATTCATGACATCAGAAGAATTATGTGGAAGGAACTGACCTCTACAACATCAAAATTTACTAGAAAACCATAATAACCATAATTAATATAAATGTAATTATGGATATTATACAGCATCAAACTGGGATAGAGTTTAGCAAGTAGGCCAGGATTTAAAAAAAAAAAAAAAAAACACAACAACAATATGCTGAAACACGAAACAAAATAGTAAACACTGACAATTCAAAACTTCTGAGGACCCAACGATTCCCCAGGAATAGTATGTAAAAATGTCTCCTGAGAGGAGATATTTGTAACAGCTATAAATGTTAACATACGTCTTTTCAATAAAAAAAAGACAAATAATCTTATGGAAAAAAAGGATCAAAAATAACAAACAGGCAAGTCATAGAGAGCCAACGTGAATTGCCAACGAATATAAGGTCAAACTTGTCAGTGATGTGAAAGATGGAAGTAAAACCACACTGATATCAACTTCACACCAATAACACTGGCATTTTTTTAATTTAATTTTTTGATTAATAATTTCACATAGTTAAAAACACGAAACAATACAAAAAAGGTGCATATCCTTGTGTTCTGTTCACCCCATTCCCACCTATTCTCCAGGTTATCATTTTGGGGCAATTGCATACATACAAATATATATTCTTATTTTTCTCCCTCTTTTTCAGATAACAGATGTCACACTATATTTAATGCTTTTTTTTTTTTTTTAATTTTTTTTTCAACGTTTTTTATTTTTATTTTTGGGACAGAGAGAGACAGAGCATGAACGGGGGAGGGGCAGAGAGAGAGGGAGACACAGAAGCGGAAACAGGCTCCAGGCTCCGAGCCATCAGCCCAGAGCCTGACGCGGGGCTCGAATTCACGGACCGCGAGATCGTGACCTGGCTGAAGTCGGACGCTTAACCGACTGCGCCACCCAGGCGCCCCCTATTTAATGCTTTTTTAAAAAGATTTTATTTTTTAAGTAATCTCTACACCCAATGTGGGCCTTGAAGTTATAACCCCAGAATTAAGAGTCACACACTCCACTGACTGAGCCAGCCAGGTGCTTCTCTGCCTTGCTTTTTTGAAACTAACAATATACTTTAATAATCTTTCCTTATTAGTACATAAATATCTTCCACATTTTTTAATGGTTACATACTAATTTAATTATATGGATAGAGCAAAAATTATTTAACTGGTCCTCTATTAAGAAATTTTAGTTTCTTCTAAGATACGCTGTTACAAACAATGCCTGAATAAATCACCGTGTACATCATGTGTGTATGCTATTAACTCTTTACAATAAATTCCCAAAAGTAATACTGCTAGATCAATGAGTAGGTGTATCACCAAATAATGTCAATGCCAACTGTTGGTGAGTCTGTGGAGTAGTGAGAACTTGTATATCTTGCTATCAGGTCTGTTAAGTCCACATACACACTTTGGGAAAGAATTTGGCAATATCTAGTAATGTTAAAATCCACATAGCCTCTAACTCAGAAATTCTACTCCTAGATGGAAACGCTCAACCATGAGTCATGTATTAGCCAGTTAACAGCTTTGTGATGATAAAACAAAAAGAGAAAGAGAGAGAAGGAGACAAGGATAAGAATAACTTTTAGAACTATGGTATATTTGTAAAATATAATATGATACAATAGTGAAAAATGAATGAGTGAGAGCTAAAGGTATCAACAGTCTCTGAACTTCTCTGGGTCTTGGACAGTTACTTAACTGGGCTATGCCTGAGTTTCTACATCTGCAACGCAGGGATACTAACAACACCTACCACATGGTACTGCTAACAGTTGTCAGGCTTTTTAGAACAGTGGCATGTGGTAACTATTACAGATGTGTTTATTAGATGAAATGAATCTCACAAATACAACGCTGAGTGAAATATCAAGTTTCAGTAAACGACATTCAGCACAATACCATGTGTAGAAAGCATAAAAAACACACAAAATAATACCACATATTACTACTTACAAATGTAGACACATTATACACAAACGAGGGAAGGATAACACCAGACTTCAGTCAGTGGCACTGGAGCAGAGGGTGACCCGGAGGGCACTTTAGAGAGGTTTAAGAGCATTCATCTATGTGTCTATTTTTGTCCCAGGACCATACTGTTTTTACTACTATGGCTAGCAATCAAATATATACATAGCTAATTATTACTATATTTATATAATAAACTATTGGAACTATACTAAAATAAAAAGCTTCTGCACAGCAAAGGAAACCACCAATAAAACAAACAATGGGAGAAGATATTTGCAAATAATATACATGATAAGAGGTTAATACCCCAAATATGTAAAAAATTTACCCAACTCAACACCAAAAAATCAAAATAATCCCAGGGAAAAAAATGGGCATAGGACCTAAACAACTATTTTTTTCCAAAGAAGACACACAAATGGCCAGGAGACACATGAAAGGATGCTCAACATCACTTTTCATCAAGAAAATGCAGCTCAAAACCACAACGGTATCATCTCACACCAGTCAGTATGGTTAGTATCAAGAAGACAAAAAATAACAAGTGTTGGCAAGGATGTAGAGAAAAGGGAACTTTCGTGCACTGTTGGTGAAAATGTAAATTGTTGCAGCCACTGTGGAAAACAGTATGCTAGTTTCTTTAAAAATTAAAAATAGAAATACCATACGACCCAGCAATCCTACTGCTGAGTATTTACCCAAAGAGAACAAAAACACTAATTCAAAAATACATATACATCCTTCTGTTCATTATAGCATTACTTACAATGGCCAAGATATGGAAGCAATTTGCATCCATCAATAGATAAATGAATAGAATAAATGTGGTGTGTGTGTACACACACACACACACACACACACACACACACACACACACAGAGGAATATTATTCAGCCATAAAAATGAATGCGATCTTGCCATTTGTGACATAAATGAACCCAGAGGGCATTTTGCTAAGTAAAACACAAGTCACATAGGGAAGGACAAATACCACATTATTTCACTTATATGTGGAATATAAAAAACAAAACGAATGAACACACACATAGAAACAAACAAAAAACAGAAATAGACTCATAAATACAGAGAGCAAGCTGGTGGTTTCCAGAGGGGAGAGGTGGAAGGATGGGAGAAATAGGTGAAAGGGATTAAGAGGAACAAATTTCCGGCTATAAAATAAATAAGTCACAGAGATGAAAAGTGCAGCAAAGGGAATATAGTCAACAATACTGTGGTAATGATGTGCAGTGACTATACTTACCGGGCTGGACATCACATAATGTGTACAATAGCCAAATGACTATGCTGCACACCAAAAATTAGTATAACACTGTATGTCAACGATGCTTCAATAATAAAAATTTTTAAAAATGTAACCAATTAACAGGAGATAAGGTGTAAATGGCCACGAAGCATATACAAATCTACAATCAAGAAATCAAAGCATGTCAGTTAAATTGAGAAATTGCTTGTCCCACTATCAAATTGTCAAGAAAATTGTTTAAGAACGAAACTCTTTCCCTGTGAGGGCACAAGAAATCAAGCCTTCTCATACACAGCTGCTGAGAATTTATATAAATCTGCAGTTCTTGCTGACAATGTGTACAAAAATTTGTGTAAAGTTTTTGACACAGAAATTTGACCTTTAGGAATCTGTCTTTAAAAAGAATTTTAACATGGGCAAAGATATAGCTACCAGGATGTTCTCACTATGTTATTTAAAATAGTGAAAAATAGGGGTGCCTGGGTGGCTCAGTTGGTTAAGCGGCCGACTTCGGCTCAGGTCATGATCTCACGGTCCGTGAGTTAGAGCCCTGCGTCGGGCTCTGTACTGACAGCTCAGGGCCTGGAGCCCGTTTCAGATTCTGTGTCTCCCTCTCTCTATGACCCTCCCCTGCTCATGCTCTGTCTCTCTCTTTCTCAAAAATAAATAAACATTAAAAAAAATTTTTTTTTTAATTTTTTTTTTTTCAACGTTTATTTATTTTTGGGACAGAGAGAGAGCACGAACGGGCGAGGGGCAGAGAGAGAGGGAGACACAGAATCGGAAACAGGCTCCAGGCTCTGAGCCATCAGCCCAGAGCCCGACGCGGGGCTCGAACTCACAGACCGTGAGATCGTGACCTGGTTGAAGTCGGACGCTTAACCGACTGCGCCACCCAGGCGCCCCCAAAAAAAAATTTTTTTAAATAGTGAAAAATAATAATCTGAATGTCTAAAAATTGGAGATTAGGTAGACAGAATATGACAGTCATACTACACAATTGTTATATGATGTTTTTAAATTATATAAAATATATTTATTGACAGGAAATTGCAATATGATGTGTGAGGAAAAGCAGAACACAAGGCATGTGTTGTATGATTCCATTTGCATTACATACATTCGAACAGTTCCTTTTCCTATGTATTTTCCAATTTTAAATTATTCAATGCATTACTTATATAAGAAAAGACATTAAATTATGCAGATGAGAAAAAAATCTGAAGTAAAATTTTAAAACCTAACAAAAGAATGTGAGGGCCATGTTCTTATTTCTTTTATAAATTCTCTGCAACATTCTTATGCTACTTTTATTACTTAAAATATTTAAAAACGTCATAGGGAAACCAACACTGATTTGTAAGCCCATCATTAGGGACAATACAGCATTGGTTCTGCCCCTTCTGCCTCCTTTCCTCTCCATAGGCCTTTCTGTAAACGTAGACACATCTCGCCACATTTCTCTAGGGAAGCCTCTTGGTGACCTTGTGTACCAATCAAGAGTTCAGTGAGTACAGAGAGGAGCTGGTGCCAGACTGCCATCAGAGTCTCTGTGACTTCCCCACTAATCACTCACCACACTATAAAAAGAGCTGACAGGAGAACTTGGCCCTGGCCTGCTCTCCCACCCACTGCCTGGCCATGAGGCCACTGGACTTCTCTGAGTTTCCATTTCCTCAAACATTAGGGGAAGGGTTTGTGTATCGGGGGGTGGGGGAGGTCTCTAAGTTTCCAAACTTTTTGATTCCGGTGCAGGTAGGAAATGTAGCTGGTAATAACCAGGGGAGACGTGCAAATCTACAGATCTGTATCTACAAAGACCTAAGAAATTAAAGGAGATTAGGTCAGTCATGCTAAGCCACGGGAATCAGGAGTTCACTTGGATTAAGCATCTAGATTTCACTAGATGCCTGCACTCACTCGGTAGTCTCTATTCACATCGCTGAGCTGCCAATAATTATTAGGGAGGCCCATTCGCTTGTATTCTTCGCTGAGATCGATCAGCATCCAGCCCTGTTCTCTTTCTTCTTTATCCAGCTTGGGGTTGAATGAAAAGCAGTATAACTCCTCGTATTTCACTGCAAGAAAAGGGAGAATAAAGCCAAATGAAGCTAAGCCAAAACTAGAACCAAATCTCCCCAGAAGCAGTCTGTCTGGGCTAGAGTACATCAAGAAGCCAGTCCGGCTCCTGGCCCCTTGGGACACCCTCTCTGGGTAGGTACGCCCACCTCCTCCTGACAACACCATGAAGACCTTGGGACAAACCAACTCAACTTTGCAAACGCTTCTTTCCTTTCAGAAACAAGGACTTCTCCATTGTGTGCTTTCTTTAAAGTTTCTTTGGAAGGCAAACATATTCTCCAGACCATACAAGAAATAGAACTTAAAAATTAATTAAGAATGTATGTAACGTTAGACATCAAGAACTCAGTTTGTTTATGTATACTGAGCTTGGATTTGGGACGGCTTCTCAGAGGTAGAGAGAGGCCCGGACCACTGCCATATTTTGATGCTCACAATATTCAAAAAAGAAACAGCAATTGAAAGGCTGTGGGATGTAGGGGCACCTGGGAGGCTCAGTCAGTTAAGTGTCTGACTTAGGCTCAGGTCATGATCTCACAGTTCGTGGGTTCAAGCCCCACATCGGGCTCTGTGCTGACAGTTCAGAACCTGGAGTCTGATTCAGATTCTGTGTCTTCCTCTCTCTCTGCCCCTCCCCCACTCACGCTCGCACACACTCTCTTTCTCTCTCTCTCAAAAATAAACATTAAAAAAAATTTAAAGAAAGGCTGTGTAATGTATTTAAGTGTTTGCCCGGAAAACATCTGAACTTTCAGCAAACACATCAATGTCATAATTACAGTGCTCATACAAAATTCATAGGATTAATAAAAAAATCAATTCATAGTGTCAGGCACCCTGGTCATGAAGGGCAAATTTAAGGATGTACGACGAAACTCTCCTTTCAATTCTGCAAGGATGTCTTTGTCTTTATATAATACCCTTTCTGCTTGTGAGCCCAAGCTCCACAGCCTTCCCCATTTAAAGCTAAAATTTGATTTTCTTGCTCCAGTCTCGCCCTGTTGAAAGAAGCATTTAGGCCAGTGCTACTCAACAGAAATGTAATGCAAGCCACATATGTCTCTTAAAATGCCCTTGAAACCACATTAAAAAACTAAAAAGAAACAATGAAATTAATTTTACTAATATATTTTATTGGTAACCCAATATATGCAAATATTATTTCAATATGTGCATAATATAGAACTTATTAATATTATATATATCTTGCTTCACAACGTCATTGAAATTCCATGCTAGCTCCATGTCAAGTGCTCACCGGCCACATGCAGGTGCTGGCTACCATATTGGATAGTGCAGATCCACACATCGCTAGTAAAGAGAAATCATGGCTGATACTCACTAAACCCGTATTTCATTCCAGATTCTGTTCTTAACAAATGTATTAACTTACAATGGGCCTCATTTTCCAGATGAGAAATCTGAGGCAAAAAGTGGTTAACGAACATCCCCAGGGCCACAGAGCTAATAAATGGGGACTCTGGATTGAAATTAGGCAACCTGGCTGTAGAGTGCATTCTCCAAAGCACACGCACTGCCCGTCTAAGGCAGATCCTTCTCTCTTCTCCCCAGACGGACCACTTTTGTGTCTTTTCTTTCCTTGTTCCATCCTCTTAACCTTCCTCTTTTTTTCCAATAGCTTTTTTTTCTCCTCACAGTTTTCTGAGGTCCCCTCATTTATTCCTTAATCTGTTGATGACATTCAGATATGGATAATTTAACTGCTCTTCAACATGCATCTGGAGACCCAGTCAAGGACCTCACCACCAGCAAAAGGCCACAGCAACACACAGGCAGCCTAAGATCTAAACTCAGTTTCAGGCTTGTGATTACCATTGAAATGACTCATCTACATGGAAGAAGAAAGATAAGGGTCATATTTTTCATTAGACATGTAGTCTTTCTTGTAAAAAAAAAAAAAAAAAAAAAAAAAAAAAAAAAAAGCAAACAACTAGAGTGTACCTGTAAGATAAACTATGTTCTAGTTCAGTTTCTCTTGATATCATATATTCTAAACTTCAAACTTTAGAATATGGACGATTTCAATCAATAAGAAAATACACACCTACAGCTATCTGTACAAACACAGAAGAGATGCTCTCAGTACGAACTGGTTCTTGTAATCTTAGCTTATTGAGCAGACAGCACAAAAAATTGAGATCCATTTCTGGGAACCAATGGCTCAACACTGACACATCTTTTCCATCTCTCAGTACCATTTTCATGACTCAGGCCTCTGATATCATAATGTTAACCGCAAATGCAATTTGTTTAAGAGGGCAACAGAATCTCTTGAGAAAGCCTCGGTTCCCTCAGTGAAAGCAGAACTTATGAAGACACGGTTAGTAATGGAAGCTAAGTGCCCTTCGTTAAGTAGTTACAGATAGGTGCAAAGGTAGAAGAAGAAAACCAGTGGAGGACACAGAGTTTTCTATGTATGGGCTCATGCCTGCTGTCATTGGGAGGAGGCAGAGACACGGTACAGAAAGCAGGAATAACTTAAGGCAGACGTGAACAAGATCATTCGTGAATTCTGAACTGGGAGGCATGAGAATGGGTTACCACTAAAACTGTGAAATGTTTTGTGTTATTTTTTTAAGCAAAAGGGTGATCAGTCATACCTCCAGCCCAATGTAAGTTAAAATTCTTCACGAGGGCAAAGAAACCCACATTTTTGTCAGCCCAAACTCAGTCTTATTAATGTAGGCAAGCTTCTCACACAAAGGCCAGCCCAGGTGAAGCCTTCAGCTGAGGCCTGCCGGCTCTGAGAAATTATAAAGTACCATTAACACAGATGCAAACTTTACTGAATAGTTCCCATTCACAACGATCTGTTCCGCTCACCTCCATCTTCTGCAAAATACGTAGCAGAATTCTTTTTAAGTTTATTTATTCGCTTTTGAGAGAAAGCAAGAGAGGGGCAGAGAGAGGGGACGAGAGAGAGAATCCTAAGCAGGGTCCACAATGTCAGTGCGGAACCCGACACCAGGCTGAAACTCACAAACGTGTGAGATCATGACCTGAGCGGAAACCAAGAGTCAGACACTTAACTGACTGAGCCACCCAGGCACCCCTACCTAGCAGAATTCATAGTCATCAGCAAGTAGGCGAGCTAAAAACAAAAGTAGGGCTACAGAAATCTCTAGTCTTCACAGAATGTGAACTGAAAGAACATACCTGCTTCGGAAAAGTCAGATCCCTCATTTCTCACCTTCGTCTCTTAAAACAGACATGTGATACTCCACTGGCTTCTTACACCATAAGGTCTGAGCCTCTTCTGCTGCTAGTGACAGCAGGTTTCTAAGCCAGGTGCACTGAAGGCCTCTCCCCTACAGCTGCTCCCGTAAGAAGCAAATACCCCACATGCCTTTGCACTGAATGTGCACCTCCAAGCAAAAGAAAAAATTTCAGAAAAAGTTATGTAGAAATCATTCGAGCATGTACTTTATTGACCTACTTAAATCTTACAAATGCTAGGCAAAGGCAGATTTGAAGGTTTTTCTACCTGTTCAGAAAGAAAAAGGACAATTTCTAAAGTACTACATTAAATTAAGAATGAGCAGCATCGGGGCACCTGGATGGCTCAGTCACTTAAGCATCCGACTCTGGCTTTTGGCTCAGGTCATGATCTCACAGTTCGTGAGTTCAAGCCCCACATAGGGCTCTGTGCTGACAGTGCGGAGCCTGCATGGGATTCTCTCTCTCTCTCTCTCTCTCTCCCTCTCCCACTCTCTGCCCCTCCTGCAGTCTCTCTCTCTCAAAATAAATAAATAAACTTACAAAAATAATAATGGATAGCATCTTGGTCATGTTTCTAGGAAAACCAAATTGGTGTTTCGGGACTTGGCAGGTAGCAAACAAGATGCAGGTTTTGACTGACTCTGTGTCGTTTGAGCACAGCTGTTCATCACGTGCCCCTTAACACAGGGAAGCTCTCGTCTCTGCTCTCAGTTCCACACCTATTGCTCTCATTGACGCCTTCGCTCTTACGTAAGCCCTCTTCCCACTCCCTGGGGAAGATTTATGCCACCAAGTGGCAACTTTCAACTTGGAACCACCAAGCCTACAAATGGCCCAGTCTCTGCACCCCACCCCTGCTCCTTCTCTTCCATAAAAAAGGAAAGGGTGTTCACTCGAGCAGATGAGGCAGCTGTGGGTAAGACAAAGCGATTAGAAAAGGAAGAAAAGCAACCTAGTTTGTTGCCCAGGTATCGGGCTAAATGGTTATGAAAACACAGTATTTCAGGGGAAAAAAATGAGGGAAGTATCATGACAGACTAATTGGGAGAAACAAAAGGTAACTTAATATTATAATAAAAATACTTTAAAAAGAAAAAGAAAACTTGCAACAACCCATGTAAAACCTGAGTAATACAATTATGTTACTGACTGCTTCCCTTTTGCAAATTTTTTAAAAATTGAAAGGAAAAAACAAACACGAATGGGCATTAGCAGAGTGCGGAGATGGGTCTGGGAAGGGGAAAGTTACAGTCATCAGGAGGACACACACTGTGAGGTTTATCAGAACCAAAAGTAACAGTTGAAAGCTAGCCTGCCCCCAGCCTTCTGCTTCATTCAAGGACCTACATGGAGTTGAAAAACCATTTCAAGAGGGGTCAGGAAAGAACACAGCTACTACTGGACTTCGCAGCTTTAGAAGAAAAATAAGGAAGAGGTGCCTGGTGGCTCAGTCTGTCAGACTCTTGATTTCAGGTCAGGTTATGATCTCACCATTCGTGGGTTCGAGCTCTGCATCAGGCTCTGTGCCAGGCTTGGGATTCTTTCTCTCCCTCTCTCTCTCTGCCCAACCTCAGCTCTCTTTCTCTCTCTCTCTCTCACTCTCTCAAAAAAAAAAAAAAAAAAAAAAAAAATGAGGAGGAGGAAGACGAGGAGGAGGAAGAAGAGGAGGAGGAAGAGGAAGAAAAGGGGGAGAAAGGGGGAGAAAGAGGGGGAGGGGGAGGAGGAGGAGGAGGAAAAAGATGTCTGCTGTCTATTTTCAACCAACAAGTGTTTGAATTAACCACCAGGGCTATGGAGGCTCTTAGTGGAAAAGAACTTCTAGACTCAGAGATAAGTGTCGTCAATAAAAAGAATATTACAACCGCAGACACTGCATAACAGCAGTGACCTAGACTAGGACATAAAAAGTTAAATTAAGCAAATGAGGGGCACCTGGGTGGCTCAGTAGGTTAAGTGTCTAACTTTGGCTCTGGGCATGATCTCACAACTCATGAGTTCGAGCCTCACCTAAGGCTCTGTGCTGACAGCTCAAGAGTCTGGAGCCTGCTTCAGATTCTATGTCTCTCTCTCTCTCTCTCTCTCTCTCTGCCTTCCCTGCTCGTACTCTCTCTCTCAAAAATAAATAATAAATATTAAAAATATTTAAATAAAAATAAACTGAGCAAATAGGATGATGTCAGTCATGAGATTTTTTTAAATCATAATAAATGTGCAAAAGAATTGGGGACTAAGATGAACTGGAAAAAAAACACTGTAGTTTAGAAAAAATGGTAAAATAAACAAAGAAGATGGTTCAAATGTTAAGGGACCAACCAACACTAATTGATACAAAAATAAACAGCAGAAACAAATTGGAGGAGAGAAGAAGGCACATGGGAAAAATGGAAGCTCTCTGAGAAACAGGGGTCTTTTCTTCTGAAAAATATATATCCTTATTGGTACACTGGATCTATTTTTCATTGGGCCAAACCTTTACTTTAACCTAAATTGTTCTTTATTCAGAATTAAAGAGCTTACTGAATTTGGCTACATTAATTTTTCATTCTTACCAATCTGAATTCACACAAAAGACAAACCAGTAAAAGCTCACTAGATTTTTAGTAGTTTGATGTACCCTTATCCCAGAAATCCTAATTCAGTGAGGAGAGGATCTCATGAGCTCTGAAAATATCTCTGTCATAGGACTTAACTTAAATGGACTCTGAAACATTTCTTCTTTTGTAAAAAAAAAAAAAAAAAAAAAAAAAAAAAAAAAAAAAAAAAAAAAAAAAAAAAAGTTCGTTACAGGACCTTGTAGTTTAGTTGTGTGTCCATAAGGGTAGCTGGAAATAGGTGATTTGTGTCGGTGACTAACCAGAATAACCAAAGAGAGCTACACCGTGCTACCAGGATTCAAAGTATACCACACCCCACCCCACCCCCACACACACCCATTCTGATATACCTAGAGGAGGGGGAAGGTGTATTTTGTAAAAGATCCTGAGATGGCTCTGATAAGCCACCCCTACTCCTAGCTGGGACCCCCTTCACCTTTCCCTACCTCCGCCCAGATCCAAAAGCCTGCTTCCAAGTTTAAAGGCTGTAACGTGTCCTAATTTTAGCCCTGCCTCTCACATTAAACTGTGAAACTGTCTGGATTCTATTTCACCTTCCCACACTTATTAAAGTACTATGTTTTATGTAAACTGGCATCTCTAATTCCAGCGTTTCAAAATGCTGGTGGCTTTTTTAAAATCTTCTAAGGTAATGGGTTTAATTCAATTAACTACTATCATTTCCTTTCTTGCTCTCTGGCTGTGTCTAACACCTAACTCCCAAACGCCACCTTTAAGAAAGGGTGTGTGTTTTAAAAAGTGAGGCACGCAGAGGTCTTCCTCCCTGGGGGCCCTCACAGTGAGAGTCCTGGCGCTCGCTGTCATCACCGGCCAGAGCCCTCACGGCCACTGTCATCTGCCCTTCCAGCCACTCAGCTCTTTCCCAGTTCTCTGGGCTCTTCCTAAATCCCATTAATCCGGTCAGAGCACAAGTATTATCCAGTACACCCATTAATCAGTGACACAGAAATTGCTGGCACACAATTCTCCTCACAATCCCTGCTGCACGCAACCTCACATACATCTTCCCAGAACTTCTGTTCCAATTATAGTGTACCCTCTAAAAAGTTCAACTGCTTTTCTGGCTAACTCTGCAGTTCTCTGCAGCACACGGGGATCAAAGAGCCTCAACCAGCTGCCTTGAAAGAGGAGCGAAGTCGAGGCAAAATGATCAGATTTTGACAGCTCCCTGGCATCATTTTCATTAGACAGCTTTAGTTCTCCATTATCTGCAGATGATACGGTCACATTATCAGAAACGGAGGAACCAGCCAGACCTCTTGCAGTACTGACGATCAAACCTCTTGCCCTGAATCAAAAAGCATTTAGCAAAGGAACTGTAAACACAGATCCCATCTCCCTCATCAGTGACTTTGGTGTGACCCTACCATGGACATTGCTCTTATATAAAAGATTTACTTTTACTGAATTCTCCCAGGAAACTCAGACGTCTATTTCTTGTAGGCAAAAGAACAGCACAACCCATACAAGCCACGTAGAGAGACAAGAGACCCTCTAGAGAAGTGCACAGTAAGCCGTAAGTCTGAAGACCTCAAGCTGAGAGACTGAACAAGAGAGTAACTAACAGCACCTATGTTTCAAATCAACTAAACGTTCTGCCCACAACACTTAAGGAGGTTTCGTTTAAGAGAACCAACACATCCACATGGTGAATATAACTGATGTTAACAAAGGTCCAGCTATACCAACCTTGGGAAACATACATTACCATCAAGAAGCAATAGAAACCAAACCTTGAGGGGTGCCTGGATGGCTCAGTCAGTTAAGCGTCCGACTCTTGGTTTTGGCTCCCGTCATTATCTCACAGTTCGTGAGTTCAAGCCTTGGATCGGGCTCTGTGCTAACAGCGTGGAGCCTGTTTAGGATTTTCTCTCTCTGTCTCTGTCTCTCTCTCTCTGTCTCTGCCCTTACCCTGCTCTCTCTCCCTCTCAAAATAAATAAATATAACTTAAAAAAAAAAA